CTTGCGTACCCGATGTAGGAGAATCCCGACTTGATCTCGAGCGATATCTCATGGAATTATAATATACACAGAAATATACCAAAAAATTCCACCATTCTTTAGGCCTTGTCCATAAGATCCGTTAAATAATAAGGAGCCTACATGAAAGCACACGATCTAACGGATTACATCCACTGAGCATACTACTCTTGGTGCTGGCCATAGTGTGAACAAGTCTTACATGTATGTATTCGGTGCGTGTGAGCTTACTAAATCTCAACTATTAGATTCTATCGAGCCCGTAAAATTTAATGACTGATATGAAGCGAGCCCAAGCGCTTCGGACGTGTAGCAATTGATTCTCCGACGGTGCCTCTCTTTCAAAAGCAACCGAAGAAGCGACCCCGCCAGGTGTCGAGGCCCGGCGCCGCCACGTCCCACTCCTGTCAATGCCACGTGTTCGTTCGCCATTGAACTTCGAAGCGCCTCAGCAGCACAAAAGTTTGGTGCGGCCTAGTCATCCTAACCTCCCCCTACCACCAGCTTTTTCGGAAATTTCACATGCATCGGTTTCTTAGAAGTCGATGCTCATTTTTCTAAGATATAAAAAGGAAATTGATTCATGTTACATGTACGGGTGTGCAACCGGACCGGATTTATCCGGAAATGGGATCGGATCACCCGAAAAATAGGTTCGGGAATCGGTTTTCGGACCAGTTCAAACAGGAACCGGTTCCCGATCCCAAGTTAAGATCCATCCGGACCAGTTTTGGAATCAATTTTCAGCTTATGTTAAAAAAAAATCGTAAATCATACTATTACTATATTTTGGATTGTTGCTTTTAGTGGATGGTAATTTTTATTGCTTGTCTTTAGGGATTGTTGCTTTTAGCGGATAGTCATTTTTATTATTTATCTTTTACTTTGAATCGTTCCATTGCTACTCATATTATTTTGCTGGAAAAAATGAAACAAGAAAAAAGAACAAAAGAAAAACAGGTTCTCGGGTAGACGCTGAAATCGGATCGGATAAATAGGGTAGGTTCCAGGACAAACAGGGTAGGTTCCAAGTTCCAAAAAGTGAGAACCGATTATAACAGTGTAAGTTTCAAGTTTCAGGTCTAGAACCTACCCACCTTGGAACCGATCACCCCTAGTTACATGTTACCACGTGTCTTCGGTAACACGTGTCTAGCAAATTCTGTGCGAAATAATTCGTTTTCTTCAAAATATTGATAATACTTAATACAGCTTCTAGGATGTATGCTCCGTTTGTTTGGCGAAAATGAATGATTTGAAAAATATTTTATTAAAAATAATCACTTGTATCGCTTAAAATAATTAATCAATACAAAATATTTCATTATCGACGAAAATTATGTCTAAACATTTTCGTCAGCGAAGAAAAACTTTCTCGTTCGTTCATATTTGTAAGCGATGCGAGTGGTTATTCTTAGGAAATGTTTTCCAAAATTATTCATTTTCGCGAAATAAATGCACCCAAATTTTCCAACCTTTTTCTTTTTCTCGTAAAAATTTCAGATTTTTCAAAATCTTTCCATCCAAATTTTTATTTTTCCCGTTTTATCCCAAATTATAAGTGAAGCCCACATTTTTAATGCTGGACTTACTTGCACATATCTCCATTTAGATCCAGAACTGAAAGTCAATCGACATGACATGTAACCAAACTACATATAATAGCAAATCAACATGATATGAACGTTTCCTATGCTTTAAGTAGCAATAAATATTGTTTGTCTCCTGCATGATTAAATTTTCACCACCTTCCTCGTTTCACTTCTATAGATAAAAGAGAGTTTCTATTCATATTTTTAATCGATGCTTGTCACGCATCAAATGTAAATATATATAAGGTACCTTTTTATACCTCGATTGTGTCTGAAAACTAAATTTATTAAGGATAATGACACAAATAGTCCCTAAACTTTGACCCAATATGCAATGTGATCCCTAAACTTTTAAATTTTCTACATTGAACACTTTCATGTAATTCATGGACTAAATTAAATATGTACCAAAAGTTCATGGACAACATTAAACAAATTAAAGTTCATGGACCACATTGCACTTGGGTTAAAATTCATGGATCACATTGAACAAATTAAAAGTTCAGATATCACATTGCACATTGTGTCAAAGTTCGTAGACTACTTGTGTCATTTTTCCAATTTATTAAAACAAAATGAAGCTAAAAATGACTTCAGGAGGAAGCCGCGAACGTGTTGATCTCCTAAGTATGTGCTCATATTTCCTTAATCCCTCGTGTTTAGTACCTCATTTACTTTGATTTGGTCTCCAATTAAAGTCGCATAGGAAGCAAAGTCCAAGTTAGTCATTTAAACTTAAAGGCATGAACATGACCATGGAGCCAACCGAAAGGCCCCGCCAATTCATTGCTAGTCTTCATTCAATGTTCCAAAGTTTGGTGGCTAAAGAAGAAGAAAAGAAAGAAAAGCTTCGATACCCTTTTGAGCCATTCAAACGACAACAATGGCAAATTGATTTAGACAGGCCAATCTATAGCAAAATTCTCAAAGGGTCACTCTAGCCTCAAGCAAAATTAGCGAAAATTCTCAAAATTGATCAAACAGGCTAATCAATAACAACACCGGCCAATTCAGGTGGGACTACTGAAACCCACGTCAGTTATTTTCGATTAAAATTGATCGAAGGTGCTGCATTGGTGAATTGTCAAAAGATTTAAGATTATATTGACCAAATCAAAATATTTAGAACTGAATTGATGTCTATACAGTAAGTTTAGAATTTTTTTTGTATAATTTTTTCTATTGAATTTGGTGAGTGTTCCGATGGTTTTCATGAGTGTGATCGGCCACGCGTACGCATGGATCACGAGACCCATCATTTTCGTTGCCCCTGCCTTTATTCTAAAATAATGCTAGCTAGTTAGACCAGAAATAGGATTTAGCTTCTTAGCGACGCTAAAGATTTTAGGCCCACCGGATTTGAATCTTAGTTAGGTCCATCGGCTCGTGGTTTTATATGGTACATGACATGATGCTCTTTAAGGACATTCGTTTACAAGTGGCATTCGCAATGAGCACTTTGAATTTTAGTTGGCCTTCTCCTTACATTTATTTTATACAATATGGGTTTAATCCGTTCTCTTTTCATTGATTGTCTTCGAGAAAAAAGATTAAAATATTGAGCTTTATCGAAACCCAAATTATTTTTGAGGGATAATGACACAAATAGTTCACGAATTTTAATCTAATGTGTAATGTAGTCCTTGAAATTTTAATCTGTTTCAATAGTCCTTGAACTTTTAATTCGTTCAATATAGTCCATAGACTTCGAGTGTATGTTCAATGTAGTCCTTGTAAAATGTTCAATGTAGTCCTATGTAGTTCATGGACTAAATTGAATAAGTACCAAAAGTTTAGAGACGACATTGAACAAATTAAAAATTAATGAACCATATTACACATTTGATTAAAGTTCACGGACCGCATTGAACAAATCAAAAGTTCAGGGATCACATAACACATTAAGCCAAAGTTCATGAACTATTTGTGTCATTTTCTGTATTTCTAATGATATGCATTTAGCGAGTCATAATTTGATAAGCTCGGGTTGAGAGATATCTCTATGACAAACTAGTTTCCTCGCATGCTTGCCCAAATTCGAAGTGGATTTGTGTAACCTCTAGCACGAGAAAATGAATATACAGTTCAAATGCGAGCATATATGCTTTATGAAAATACGATAATTGTCTAGTAACCACGCGGAGATATCGAGTTTTAATCTTTATCGATATAGGATGCTCTTTTTACTTCGCTCTTTTTACTTCTTTATATAAATCGAGATGAAATAAAGGTGCTTCGATGATTCGAAAAGTAAAATTCCAAATTTCGAAAAAATTGGACTCCAGCGCACACGTGGCAGCACATCTGTTGTTCTATATCTAATATTTTCGTGCTGTGCTTTTTTTCCCCGCGATGTGAAAAAAAGAAATAAAAATTGGGCGGACATGAGGACGAACACCGTGGGCGAGAAACCAAGCCCTGGTGATAATAAGATCGAGAGGCCAAAAAAAAAAACAGAAAAGAAAGGGAATAAATTATAAATAAACAAATCATTTTTTCGCGCGATTGCGACATCGAAAGATTATAAACTCTCGTCATCGCAATCCCAAACAACTTGTTCAAGAAGATCTTAGAATAGATCGATAACCCGTCGTCGGGACATGGTCTTTTCCCAACGCGAACATTCGATCTCCAAAAACATCAAGCGTGCATGTATTGCCACGGTCGAAAAAAATAAAAATAAAAATTCAGGGCGCAACTAAAGTCACGGTCTAAATTTTAATTTGATTATTTGTTCGTCCCTACGGATGTAATCATGATTCATTTTCTTGCCAGAGCACGATAATTAGGATCAATATCACGAAAAATCCTAAACTGATATACTTGTCTACAAATTTACCCTAAACTAATTTTTTGATTACAAAAAACCCCAAACTGGTATGCCCGTGACAATTTTACCCTCCACTACTTTCTGTTAAATTTTCCTGTCAAATTACTGAGTTGATTGACACGTGACAGTTAACGGGTGTACCGGTTGGTGGCTTTATCCTCCATTTGTTCTAGGTGTATTAGCTCGTGCAATTTAACGGAAGGTAAATTTATCCTAAATGTACGAGTTTGAGGTTTTTGGTGGCCAAAAAATTAGTTTAGAGTAAATTTATCATAGACATACCAGTTTGAAATTTTTGGTGATCAAAAAATTAATTTCGGATAAATTTATTACGGGTGCATCAATTTACGATGTTTCGTGATATTAACCCATTGTAATTAAGCCGAGTTTAATCCAAATTCGAATTGTCCAAAAATCAAATCGCGGCCGGAAAAGTGGAAGAGAATTCTCGGGATTTCGCAGTTTTTTTTTCCTTTGCAGAGCATCCGCCGTTATAAACGCAATCCCCCACCGAGCCCACACGCCGCTTTGACCTCTCCCCCCTCCTCTCCTTCCTCTTCCTCAGTTTCCTCCTTCTCCTCCTCCTGCTCCTCCTTCTTTCGCCGCCCGATCGGGCAACAGCCCTCCGCCCGCAACTGATCGCCGCCGCCGGATTCCGGCGCCCCGGGGCCAACGGCGGCCTCCTCCGGCGATGGATGCGCCGATGGCATGACTCGCCGCCCGGATTATTGCCCCGTCGCCGCTCGCATTATCGGCGCGTCCGGGTAAAACCTTGCTCGTCTGCTCTCCTTCTTGCCTCCGCCTCGCCGGCCGGTCGGTGCGTGATCGAGGTCTTTGCTTGCGCGCGGCGGCGGCGGCGGCTCTGGTTCGGAGCCCTCCTGGAGCTTTCCGATTCCGGCTGAGTTCGCTTTGCTTTGAACCTCCCCCAACCTCCTCCCCCTTTTCTTCGGTGAATGTGTTGCCGTACAAGCCACCGCTTGCGTAGTTCGCGTCGCGTGCCGTACGATCGTCTCGGTCGATCGTTTGAAGCAATCGGATGTTCTTTTGATTAAGAAGCTTATCCTCCTAGTCGATAGTTTTGTTTCTTTTTCTTTTTTTTTTTTGGAGAAAAGAATTGCGAAAGTTGCTGCATTTGTTTCGCGATGATGGTAGGATCAGAGGCCGATCGTGCTAAAGCTGTTTTCTTAGCTGCGGTTGCTGTCTTCGTCGAGTAGATGCTCGCATTACGAATGCGAGTTGTGATGCTTCCCGAGATGCTGATCGTTTGGGAATTTCGTGGTTTCGAGTGCGTGTGATCGTCTGAATGCGAGCATTTACGTGTGTAGTGACTTTGCGCGTAGCGCGTGGGTGCGGTCATTTGTTGGTCTGAATGTGGGCATTTACGGGTTGTGTGGACTTTGCACATAGTGCGTAGATTTCAGTCTTTGACCCTTCATTTATGTGCTGATCGACGCATAAGCAGCTGAATTTCACTCGTTTGTTTTTGGCAGTCTCGGTTGCTGGGGTTAATGCTCAGATCAAGTATGAAGCAAAGGCCCTTCATCCCCTGCTGGAACATATTTCAGACACCATCGCGAGACAGATTCTCATGGATGCTTAGTACATGCTTGTGTTTCTATATACATTCGTACAGTGGGAATCTGGTTGAAACGTGGATGCCTGTTGTAGATACATGAATATAGGTTCTTTTTAGATCAGTGCGGTACTTTTCGTAGCTTGTACTTCGAATTGTGAAATCTATGGGCATATCCATCTAATGGTGTTGATGTGACTGGAGACTGTGAATGTGTGTCGACAGTTATTTGATTGTGTCTAAGGTAAGAAATTAATGGTTAGAAGAGATAGTTTAGCCGCCTAGGTGAGGTGAAAACTGCACTAAGGAGATTGGGACGAAGGACTAAGAGGGGAAAGCCAAGCATATGTAGTTTTTCCAGGGAACAAGGTGTAAACGAATTGGATTTCAGCAATGGGGTTGCCGCAAGTTTGCCCCAGTGAAGGCACCGATGAAAATGCAGCGGCCTCATTTCGTTTGTTAGGTTCGCGGCAGTTTGCCAGTGTGAGCACCTGTGATTTGGATGGGATGCATGGAGAAGATATGAGCAGGAAGGATGGTGACCCTCGAGATACCGAGAAAATGATTAGCTCGGAGGTTTCTGAGTTTCAAGGTGATTCGTTTAAGTACGGGATAAAAGCTGCATTCAATGCTAATGGGTTTAGGAGCAATCTGGCAGATAAGGGAAGTTGGCTTACTCCTAAAAGTGAGAGGAGCATTCAGGATCCTATATCAAGAATAGTGGGCTTTGAGTCTGGTGGAGTGACCCGCGGCTTTGATGGGATTTCAGTTGAATGTGAACGATCCTTTGACGCGCCTGGTGTGAAAATGAATGAGACTGATTCCAGTGGGTCATTAATTAGGAAACGCTTGTTCTCACCTTTGAGCCATGATCTATCCTCAGAAAAAGTTGGTGACGATTCTCTTGAAATTGGCAGTGGCAGTTTCCAGAAAACTTCCACTGCCTTAACCGACACACCCAGTTCTTTTTTGGCGAAAGACTACAAGAAAGCAAATTTTGGAAGGACAAGATACCGTACCATCTCAAGCGGGGCATTGTCAAGAAGCTTAGAGAGTAGGAGCACTCCCTGGGATACTAAAACGGCTTCTTGCTTTTTCACTGACGGGCCTTTGCTGGAAGAGAAGGAACCCCTAAGTTATACTTGTCGTGTATTGTCATCTGCAGTTGAGGACTCGAGAAAATTTAGTAAGGTGAGATCCGAAAGCATGGTGGTACCATTGGCTACTGAAAAGATAACCTCATCTACTCTTTCTTCATCTCCTCTTGGCCCAAAATTTTCTGAAAGGATAAAAACTGGAGGAGGAAATAAGAATCTAATGAGCGTTACTGATGATTCTTCGAGCTTGATGAACGTAGAGAGTTTTTTCCACAAATCAGATACGAACATTAGTGTTGACACTGAAGAGGATGACTTTAGTGCGGTAACCAGATCTTTTGAAGATGTTGATCTCTTAAACAAGGAATTTCGTCCGTCTTCCTTGGAAAGTACTGCTGAGGTGTTTTGTCCATGGTGTCGAGAATCGACTCCTAAATCTCGACATGCATTTAGGAGCTTCAGCAGACTATCTGTTAGGAGGTCATTGGTTGGTTCCTTTGAGGAGTCTCTGTTGTCTGGTAGACTTCTCTCGGGGAAACTCTGTCAGGTGAGTCTTGATTGTATGTTTCATTAGTTTTGGCTTAGGATTCACACCTAAATAGTTGATAATTATCTTTTGAAGATGGACAATTAATCTTTGTAGCCCCATTTTCGCTTTTGATCCATGCAGAAAATTGATGGTTTTCTTGCTGTGCTGAGCGTTGTTGGAGGGAGTTTCTCACCGCTGTCACAGAAGCTTCCATTCTCTGTAAGCAGTGTGGATGGAGATTGCTCTCTGCTGTACTTTGCATCCATTGATCTCGCTGGATCCTCGTCTTCAAATAAGTGTGTTGGCCACAAATCTGGGAAGAGTCTCAGCCGTGACGATTTGCAATCTGTCAAGAGCCGCCTGCGCATTCCTATGAAAGGGCGCATACAACTGGTACTTGGCTTTTTTCTTGTGGAGTGGCTTAGCGGTTAATATTATCTCAAGAAGCGACTGTCTAATTTGAGCAAGGACATGGCAAATTCCCTTTTAATCACTCTACTCTCTGTTATGATCTCTTCCTCCTATTAGGAAGATAAAAACCTGTCACATTGGCCGCTCGTAATAGTTAAGAAATTTTATTCGACTCTAACAGGTAATGGTGTTTTATAGGTCCTCAGCAATCCCGAGAAGACACCTGTTCACAGATTTCTTTGCCACTATGATTTGACCGACATGCCGCTGGGTACCAAGGTATGCGTAAGAATCCCCTAATGATCTTTACTGGATTTTCTGTCCGGAAGTCATGATAGCAGAATGAGACTGAGTAAATTGAATCGAGGTATCTGGCTTGTTTTTGGTCCAGCTGTTTTAATTTAAGCTAAACCTGTTTTTTGTGTTTGCCTTTCATGATTATTTAGGACCCGACGTGGGACAAAAGTAGACCCATGCTTGCGTGAATGAAACATAAAGTCACTATGGTTTCACCATTAGCACAAATAGAGTCTTGCCATGCTTTTAGTAGCTGTAACCGTGTCTATTAAGCTTTTCATTCGCACCGCACCCAATCAAAATGCTATACCCTTCAACGGCAAAGAGGAAGCATTGTGAGATAAGGACATGTAATGAATTTAAGTTTGGCTGAAATTTTAAATACAACTCTAAGATTTATACCTGATGAGGTGCTCGTGTTATAGGGCTGATCTTCAAGGTCCCTGTATTGCTGGAAAAAATTGGATTTTGGATATTACTTCTTGCTCTCGTTTTCATGCCCGAATCTTTTATTCCTCCATCGGGTCCTTGCTCTGTCCTGGTAGTTACATTTCTCTGTCTGATGATCCCCATTCTGCTACATCTGAGCCCAGCATGATATACCAACTAGCTTTAAACATACCACTACTTATGCACTCATACACTATAAAGATGATTAAAATAAGTAAATGGGCTTAGGAAAAATTAACAATCAGGCAACCACTCATTAGACATCGCAAATCTTCCTTGTAAAGTATACTGGAAAGCATTCCAAGAAAGGTATGTATTTTTGAAGCATTAACATTTCTTTACGTGGCTTTGATATTTCTATCCTGTACAATATCACCTATCGCACGATAATTTGAGACATCTAGGTGATCACAAAATTGTTTGCTGGCTAGGCTTCCCATGAAAGTAAAAAGAACAGAATGTCATACCCCTAGGACCAAAAGAGTCAATTCTGCTAAGTCTATCATCCTATCAATACAATCAACCCGCTACAAGAATAAAGATAAAAGGTTGACATTGATCCCACTATGGGTGGCAATACCACACAAGCAAATGCAACAAATAACAATATAATAGTATGCTGTACATGCATCTCTCATCAAAACAATGTTCTGTACGAACATTAACTGTGGATCCTCCTCAATCAAAGCCTGACTCCACCAGGTCCAACATCAATAACATCTGTGCTTGGCTTACCATATCAACCAGTTCGAAGAACTTTAGAATGATTGAATGTTTTACTCTCACTATACCTACCTGTTAATTAGGGGAAATTTTGAAAGTGTTTAAAATAATCCCCTGGCCCTTTTATGGCTTCAGATATCTTAATCTTCCCATTTTTAAACTATCAGATATAATCACATGCACCTCCGTTCATTAAAAAATGCACTACAAAATGGGGGAAAGAACAATGAGGAATTTCCTCCCGACAGGGCAACAACACCACACTCATCTCATGTGAATACCCATTAGAAACTTGAGGAGCTACCCCCAATCATCTAGCCACCTCCAAACTATAATGTGCACTACTAAAACAAATACGCGTCTCCTCCTTTTTATGCACAATTTCTCTCAAGGTGTAGATTGACATATTTTCTCCAGTATTATATTGTCATCCATAAGCTTGTAATCACAAATGCAAATGCCTAAATAGCCATACCTTGTGGATTTAACTGATACTTGGAATGTAACAATTTTAAAGCATAAAGCTATTCATCTAGGATGAAATTCACATTAATATCATATAAAAATTAGATATGTATGACACAATATTACAACATTTAAAGTTAATAAGCTCCATGGGAGTTGTAATATTGCAAAGCTAGATAAGACATCTATGTACTCTTTATCCTCAATTGGATCAACTTCTCTGTAATAAAGAATGAAAGGAACTGGCTGCGTGTAAAGACTGAATATAATTGGTCTCGTTTGGCCTCAAGCTCGAGAGAAGTGTCTTGACCTACAAAACCCAATTCCCCACTTAAAGGTTAGGAAGTGGAAGATATCAAGCAGATTGATCCTCTTAAAACGGCGCGGTGGGGAAGGTGCCTAGCACTCCAGAGTTGAGGAACTAAAAAAAGTTCCCAGCCGAAGAAATTCATTTTCTTGTGGATTCAATTGAAATTTTTTGGTGTGCACTAGCCAACCATTTTCATAGGTTTGATTGAGGAAAACCAAACAAAAGAAAGATTCTTGACTTTTTCTTGTCAAGACAATATGGAAGCAGATTAGCGTTGTTGGGATGTTAGGGATTGGGTCACTCTCAACCACTTAAAGGAGAAAACAGTGACACATTTATTACACTGCTGACGTGGTGCAAACAACCATGTCTGTCGCCCGGGAGGTAGCATCCCATCCAACTTTACGTGTGGATTATAAAACCTCCCACCTCTCTAGTTATCACCACCATGTGATGCATTAGATGCACTAGATATTGCCTCCCTCAAAGGACACATTGTAAGGGCTCTTGAACTTATGATACTAGATGAACCTAGGTCTTCGGTCCCTTAAAAGAGGCTGTTCAATCAATGTAATAAACTACAGATATTTTGGAGGTACTACATTAAGTATCATGAAGGGACTCAATTAAAATTTTTTTTAGTACCATCTTCCACACAACCTGAGTACTGCTTAATTTTTGAAAGTTAGGAATTGGAAGTAGTTTATGGGGTTCCTTGAAACCTCCTTAGCACACAATTCATTTTCTCATGCGATAAGAAATGGTTTAGAAGGAGCTTGATATAGGGGATGAGTGTTGGTTTATGAGGATTGGAATTAAGACAGAAGGAGGTTACAGGACAGCGCGAGGGGGGCGGGTGTGGAGGAGGAGGAGAAATACAACCTTAAATTTTGGTTTAGTTGGGGGAAATGCTCAATATTGTTGCAATAGGATCCGGTGGGCTTTTGTGCCTGAAGTCCTGCCTTGTATTTATACTGAAAGTGAAGTCTATTTGTCAAATTGAAGCCCACTTTTAACTTGTATCAGACTTTCATGTCAATTCAAATTTTGGAGCATTCAGTTCTGGTTGAATATTTCTTTCATAGGGGTGTAATTTGTTGTACTTATTGGTACCTGTGATCTCATGGCTTTAAGCGGAAAGAAAAAGGTTTTAAATTAATCAATTTAAGATGCTGGTTTGTGTTCTCCACCGGCCTAAAGAAAATGTGGGTTTCTGTTTACAGTTACGCGCACTTAGCGATGGTATGATTACTCTGACTAGAATCTTCTTCTTTGCTTCACTTTGATAATTGAAACAGACATTTTTGCGCCAGAAGGCCACGCTAGAATCTTCTTGCTTAGCTTCTGCACAGCTGAAAAAGCAGTTAGATTTGAACTCAAAAGTCACAGAGGTCATGACTCCAATGTCGAGCCATCTTGTACAGTCTGGAGATGATGCTACACAATCCAATGCTACTGGGAATGAAACCTCTGATGTGGTGGTTTCAGTAGAGGCAGGTGATCAATCTGAGAAACCTGACAGCTTTGGGAAGCAAAATATTCCCTCTTCTAAGTTTAATGATGGGTGTAGGAGCAGTAAACCTGGCAATGACTGTTATTGTGAAGATACTTGCAACGGTAGCGACAGAAAAACCTTTCATGGTTGTTCAAAGGTCAACGAGAACATGACTGGAGCTGGTGCCTTGCGCTATGCTCTTCACCTCCGTTTTCTTTGCCCTTTTCCTAAAAAGAGTAAAAGGTCAGTTGCAAGATGTAAATCTGATCCCCTCTCTGTACCGAAAGAAAAGTTGTTAGATAGGGAAAGGAGATTCTATTTATACAATGACATGAGGGTTGTATTTCCTCAACGACATTCAGATGCTGATGAAGGCAAGGTATGTGATCTATATTTGACTTACTCTATGCCTTTACTTGTGCTGAAGTGCTTCTAGTGTCGGTTCTCCAAAAATCATGCGTGGCATCACTGTGGCACTCGATGCCTGACTGAATTTTTGCCCTTGTAGTGTTATTTCAATCGTCATTTAACATCTCACCTCAAAAAAACTTCTGTCGTCCTCAAAATTAGATGAAGAAGGCACATTCTGTACATTTTTCTATGTTTAAGGGTTTTGAACTTTCAAATCTATTTCTATCTCATTTTTCGCCCCCAGATATCTTCTGAATAATCCATGTTTTCTTTGAGTTCCATGTTTATGTAGCCAGGACTTCACCGTTCTCCCTCTCTCTCTCTCTCTCTCTCTCCTCTCCTTATAGTGACCCTATAAAGAGTGCTATCTGATGCTTGGTTTCATTTCTTTTACCGTACAACAGGCTGAGATTTTTTTTTGTGTCTGTCTAAATCTAAAACAAAGGAAAACCTGAATCTGTTTAATGATTCTAAAATTAGCTCATTGAAATGTGGTGCATTATGTTCGATTGGCATTATTCAGTCGACCTTTCATGCTAGACCTGAATTGGTAAGAATATGAAGCTATAGTTCTGATTATAACCGCAGGGCACACATAGTTGCACACATCGACGCTTTTGGTTTGACATCCATTGGGATTCGCGTCTTTGGATTAGTAACTCCGTCCATTATGGTGTTAATTTTCTGTAACACCTGATGAGTGTGCCATGTCTAATGCAGTTCAAGGTGGACTATCACTACCCAGAAGATCCAAAATACTTTGACCTCGGCAATTGAAATGTCTCCAAGCTACCTCCTCAATTGAATCCTGGAGGTGCTGTACATAATTCAGTCTTCCTTTTCGAATATCTTCATTTCTCCTCTTGTACAGATCTCAGTTTCTCAATAATGTTAACCCTTGTAATTCCATGTACAAGTTAACTTTATCATCACAGCCTTCATATCAAATATGGGCTCACTGCCTCTGGCAGTTGTTGCTTGAAATCAGTGTACTTTTGGGGCAGGCATTTCTTTGGTTCGATACAGCATCATCGCTCCATTTCTAACACGGAAAGGTTCTGTCATCCTTTTCTCACATTAATCTCCACGTGGCACTACCTAGGACCCTGTAAGATATACTTTTCTTTTCTCTCAAGGTGATTTGAATTAAGGGATGCTTGTCGGAGACTGGTGCGCAGAGAATTCATTTCAATGGAGGCACATTGCAACATTCATCGCATAAAAGCTTAGAAGTAACATCATATTGATTTAAGATACAAGAGAAGAGAGGGGTTAGCAAAATCAATTACATGGTAATAACATGTCCTTAATTCGAAGAGAGGATCCTGGGATTGCTACGTCATTATAAGGCAGTACCCACCATGGGATTGACACAATAGCAAGGCATTTCCATGCTTTTGGCTGGAGAACCGATGGTTGTGTGTTCGATTCCTGCACTGGGGAACTCTGACTTAAATTGCAGAGTCATGTTGGTGGACTGCAGTACTAATTTTCCTTCAAATAGCCGATTAACTACGGTTCCGCCCCTGGATCATCGATATAATATATATGTTGGGACTTATAGGTCAGTTTCAAATGGTGGTAGCTTTATGTAGTATAACCTTGATACTTTATTGCACTGTTATATGCTGTAGAAACTTTTAAGCTAAGATTTTAGTGTTGCTTTGATTAATGAATTTGGCATTATAATTTTGGAACCAGTTAATAGAACAAGGACAGTACAAAGCACTCCTCCTGTCTGCCTTCTGGAGAAGGCGCAATTGCTACTGCCTGCTCTAGCTTTCACCTCCTTTCGCTTGGTAACTTAATAAAAATAGGAGCAGTCGCAATACATTGTAAATAACTTTTCTAGAAGGGCAAAAAGCACAAAAAAATCCTAAACTATGCTCACTGTGACATATTTATCCTAAGTTTTTTTTTGTGATACAAAAAATCCCAAACTTGTATTTCTGTGATACATTTACTCTCTGTCAAAGTTCTGTCAATGAGAACTATTAAAAATCTACTTACATGAATGCCAGAAAGGCAAACAATCTTTACATGGCACCCGCGCGGCTTAAGTGAAATAAAAACAATATTATTTTGACTAAAAAGTCATTTAACAAAACCTTGACGGAGAGTAAATGTGTCATACTGATACAAGTTTGGGGTTTTTTATGTCAAAAAAAGTTCAGTGTAAATGTTTCATAATGGGCATGGTTTGAGGTTTTTGATGTTATAAAAAAAAGTTCATGGTAATTGTGTCACAGTAGGCATAATTTGGGATTTTTTGTGACTGTTTTCCTTGTATTTAACCCAAAACTAGAGCCCGAATAAGTTACATGATTTCTGGATGGCCCGGGCCGGACTTTCACCATCACCTTCACGCCCCCATTCATAACTTGACGTCCCCGTTCATAACTTGACCCTCGAGCTCTCTTACTAATTCGATGAGCCGATCCATGGAACCATCCATTCTTCAATGCAACAATATAAGGAGAAAAAAAATGTTAAAAATGAATCCCGAGACAGGTCGGGTATGAATCAAGAAATTTGCATTGGAAATAAATGGGTCAATTTTGATTAGAGCATATATGACCCGATCCAATCCACTCGTTTGACTGACCTACTCAACGTATAAAAGGGTGTGCATCTCAATTTGCTTTATTCTCAAATAGGTTTATTTTTTGTTAAAAGTTGTGGCCGATTGCTTCCCTCTCTCACATACAACATGCTTCCTTTATATCAAGGAGCATGTCGGGCTCAGTAATTTTCATTTGTCACTTGAAGTACATGTCGAGGTAGGATGTACAATACCGCTAAGGTTGGGATATGCAGATCGGGTTACGAACTAAGTCTAAATCACAATTCGTGATTCAGAAGATTAGTGAACGAGGATAATATAATTCTTTCTCAAATTCTCTAAATCAATTCCCCTTTTTGTCTAGGGCCAAAGAAAAAAAATCCCATGTTTCTCCAATCTCACATTATTGCATCGGGATCTTAACTAAACAGTATCATGATATTCACCATCATTGTATATGCTGCTTCATGATGTAGAAGGTATTCGAAGTTATAATAGTACAACACAGAGGTAGTTATAATAGTACAACACAGAAGTTCATGTCTGAGCCAGCTTTAGCTCCCGCATAAAAACCAACTTAACAAAGAGCAAACCGCAGCATCTAGGGAACCAGAAACTGTCACCATTCTCTAATTCGCAATGAATGCAAATGCCATCAGGATACAGAGAATGACAACAGGCCAAGGCATGTCACCGAGCATGATGTACATTAACAGACCGCACTTGACACTTTCAAGCCCAGCCTCGATGACAGCGGACACAAGTCGGAACCTTGGGTCTATGTCTAGCCCTGCCGTCTTGACCACTTTAAGCAGTCCACAGAAACGCAAAATTTTTGCACAGGTATTGTTGGCTGGAACACCCATCAACTCGATGACTAGATTTAGGAACCCCACCAGGAAACGAAGGCGTCGGGTATGTGGAGCGATTCGATCTGCAAGGTCTACTCCACGCCTTGGAAATAAAATTAGAAAACCAGCTGTTAGTATGCATTGCAGAGAGTCTAACCTCTGTATGTTCTGCAGGTATTTAACCCATCTAGTGATCCACGGCTAATTAAGCCAGTGAAAACTCTTCTTTTCGACAAAATGGAACTCCAGAGTACTAGGAAATACCTCCTTAACGCCTACAAACCTTTCCTAACCTTCTCTTACAACACTCGTTCACAAAACAAGATCACCCAGACGCACAAAACTGCCAAGTAAGCCTAAGCCCCCGTGCTTATCGGGTAGAAACAGAGCAAAAGCTAATTGCAGGTCTTATCTTTTCTTAGGAGGAAAAGCTAGCAAGACTTTCAACTAATACGATGTTCTTGATATGAGTTTCTGCTGACAAAAGAAAGAAACAGATGTATATAACGTCGTGTCTCTTCATCAACGTGACAGAATTTTCCCTCCGAGAAACAGAGTGTTTATACAACCAGACAAGGCCCGGGTATTCGGGTAGAAGAACCAAGTAGAAACGGAGTCTCAAGCTACCCGAGATCGTGTACAAGCTCGGTGGGCCGTCTTGTACTGAGCATGAAACTGAGTTTCGGTCCGGAGAATACCCAAGCCTCTGTTCTAGCTTCTACTGTAGACTCGAGCAGCTTGTGCCGGAGTCTTGCTTTCTAAGTTCTACACCGAGAAGAGGGCTCTTCATAGCAGAACATGCGAGATCAAAATGCATCGGGACAGGTTCACCTAAATAAAGGTCGGTTTTTTTCTTAACAAAAAAGCATTCCCGTAATGAAACATACACAATGGACATGATCAGACATACGTTCAGGAAAAGAAAATCAAGATTTGTAATGATCTTGAGGTCGCTGAAGAGGCTATGATAGCTTGATGTCTGGCCTCAAGTAAGTTTTGATATGCTCTGATGTCCGGCCTCAAGTAAGTTATGTTTGAGTTCGCTAGAGCGTACCTCTGACCGCCGAGATCTGCTGGATTGTCATTCTCCATAATCTTCCGACGATGCCTTCCCGGAGAGTTGGAGATGGAGAAGAAACGTGGGAAGAAGGATGGTTCGACTTGTGCGCGTGGTGTGACGGACGGAGAAATATTTTTCATGGGCGCTATTCTTGGGGATTCTGTGCTTGGGTATCTGTTCACCGCTAGGGGGATGTTCCGGTCCTTTCACTAAAAGTCACTTTCGCGCCCGGGCATTAACAAAATTCAGACAAGTGTCTATAGAAGAAATATTATAAAGGGTAATATGTAGCAAAAATATTACATGATATAATCCTCTCTTGGACCTAAAAATGATAATCGATATTTACATCGTTAATTGATTAACGAAAATATATCTAATAAGGTAAGACTCAAAAACTTTATTACGAGTATAATGGCGTTTATTTTATTTGTAAATTTAGAAAAGCTTGCAAACAACGATAAGTGTTATTTAAAAGAACGCCCAATTGGATATTTTATGAATGGGAATCGCTGTACCGGGACATTCCCAAAAAAAATCGGACTGAGCCGACTCAGTCCCCAACTCGCGCACGGACGCAGGCGTAATGGCGCGAATTTCTTCGCTGTAGAACGGCATTCACGTAAACGGAATGCGCAGTTCTTGACATGATACCCAAGGAAAGGACATCAAGATTTTGACCGACGGAGCTGGACAACAGTGTTTCAATCTTCTCCGATGACCTGTTCTCGGAGATGAGCTTGTCCAGCTTCCTTAATTCTCCACGCGGGGATCTCCGGACTCCTTGTGCTCCACCTTGGCCTCCGTCTTTTTCATCGTGATCTCGTGGGTACTCATGAGACTCAGCTCCGCCAGCATCAGCGTCACTTGTGGGGGAGAGGTCGAAGCTCCTTCTTGAGGAACTTGCGCTTCAGCTCGTTGACGATGGCCTGGTTCGCCTGCCGAATCCGCCTCGCTGTTGCACGGGCTCTGGGTCTGGGCCAACTAGAGCTCAGCGTAGGCCCGCCTTGATGGCGGTCGCCACCGCGTCGGCGTGCTCGTGAGCGAGTCGTCCATGGCTGGCCGGGCCGGTAACGCTGCAATCCACAGAGCGTCGCCCATGGCCTCAAAAGGCAAAAAAGAAAAAAGGAAGAAAATGGTGAGAGGAAAGAGAGAAACGGAGGAGAGGAGAGAGAAAAGATTTGAAAAGTGGGGCTCATTATGGCCACGTGTTGATGTCTGGATGGTTCAATGAACATCCTACGTGAAGTGTTGAATGCACCTAATATTTTCTCCATGCACCCCAATGTGAAAACAGGCCAGCTTCGTCCCTGCCTGCAACGCGCATGTACGTAGGTTATACTCATGCAACGATCCATGGACTCATTGGATATGATTTACGCTAAGTGCCTGGCATTATACCGCGCATTAAATTTCTTTGTGAATTTAGACTTGCGGTTCTAGATGTGTTCACGAGAGTACATGAAGTTTGCAGCATCAATAAGTACGCACGGTCTTCACTTTAGATGTGTATCTCGATAACTTTAGCTATTAAAAAAGAAAGAAAGAAAGAAATGTTGTCTTCTATGATAGTTAATGTGTTCGAATCCTTACATCTCATATCTCATGTGCAATGCCTGTTTTACATAAGTATTAGGACATATTTCGTTTTTAGAAGTACATACTTGAGAAGCGTGCTTAACAAACGAGCCGCGGACACATTTCCTGATAAATTGAGCTCTTGCGAAAGACTGCCATACAACAAGTATTTTGCTGATTTTAATTCCTAGATATATACCGAGCAAAGCATGCGGCTCAAATTGCTACAATGTATAACCAACATCTTTATTCTATGGAGGAGGGGTCCTTGGTTCAATGGTTCAAGCCATTAGGGACATGTACGTACACCCATAGCAGTCCGACGAACATTGCCGGAACACCCGCCATGCTTATGTACACCTTGGTCAAAATCGTCCGGCGAAAAATGAGACGGAGAGATAATTAAGATTTGGACCCGGTTTCGATTTTTTCTTTTGGTGGGGGCAGCTTCTTTTAATACTACCTAGCGAGTTCATTTAAATATTCACTTACAATTTATCACACCACCGAAACTCAGATTTTACAAAGAAATCTCGATTTTCTGAGTATTACCTTTTCTTACCTTAGCTTTTCTTTTGAATTGATAAGAAAAAAACTAGTCGCATGGCTTGTGAGTTGACGACTATTTTAATAGACTAATGTCTTACATCGAATGAAAAATGAACGATGATGATCTTAGAGAAAAGAATTCATTAAAGTACTGAAAAATATATCGTGGAAAACTCACAAAAATGATTGGGATAAGTCACCAGAAGTCCTAAAATTTGTCATGAAAATGCAATTGAGTCCTAAAATTTTCAAAAAGTATAATCAAGACCAGTTAATATATCGCTCGTAAAAAAGCAAATGAGAATTTCGATCGAGCATCCCATCCTCCTCGATCCCAGGAGGGCATGAAAAGCGACACGTCGTGCCGTGGGGAACTGGCCAACTATGAATAGATCTTATTTAGGGCTAAGATCAAATGCATGGGACCTCCTCAAGTGGTCATTTTAATGCGGCCAATTTCCCCTCTTTTGCAATCAGTTTCGATACAATGGTGGCCCTCCCACTTTGATAGGATTTTTGTTTGTATTGGTACCGAATGAATATATCAACGGCACTGCTAACAGAACTAGGCGGGAAGGCGATACTAGTGATTAGGTCAGAGAGACGCTTGGCCCCGTAAGCTGGCCTTATCTAACGGATCATGTGGCTTGGAATACGTTTTGGTTTTTTAATGGCAAATTGAGAATAGCCATAAACTTACATGATTTGAATGTTGTGAACTCCTCTTGGATTGAATTGTTTTATGAATAATAGCTTGTTGATTCACGAACGATGATAAATGATTATTTGGTTTCAATTTTTAATATAAGAAACGTCAAGAAATTAGCGTGATATTAGCTGCACTGTTGTAGTCTAAAGATGTGAAATTGTAGTCTCTGACTTCGTACCTCTCGGATTTTGCAATGAAGATCCTTGGTATGCAATTCATCGGTTGTACCACACACCCCTTTAGAATCGGTTTGCGGACGGGTACGCGCTTGAGCCATGCTTTTCACTTGTAGATGAGGAACAAAAATTTACCTTAAGTAAGCGTACACAACGTCGCATGTTAATGCGATATCACAAATCCAATCGAACATCTCAAATTGCCTAAGAGACGATTATCGATTATATCCTTACACTTGAGAAAGAATGGCCACTCGATTAAATTATAGATATAAGATAGCGCATCACGTGTTGTCACTATTATTAGACAAATCTATCATGCTATTGTTGATTACTCCTCAAACACTTACGGCGGTGTCGACTAATCCCGCATCGAGTTAAACATCGTTTCTTCGTTTTAGACGGACAAAGTGCTTAAGAATCAAAACATTTGTCTACGCTTGTAAAAGGTTTGTTTATTGTCTTGAAAATGTTGGATGCGAATGAATTTAAACATTAACATTTTGATTTTTAAATCCTTACAGAATGCAATAAATAATTGGTAAAAAATCAAACCGGAAACATAAAGAGAGCTACAACTCAAACTTACCCTAAACACAATCTAGCTTTATCACGAAAAGCTTCGTTGCAACAACTTCATTTTACAAAACACATAAATGCAATACGCTCCTCAGATGAGTTTCGCTGATTTTCGAGACAAAAGCAATTTTAGTTCAATTTATAAGTTAGGTCTCGATTCTGACCAAAAAAAAAAAAGTTGGGTCTCGGTAGCTAGATAAATATTTCCATAATTCCCCACCCATTTAAATCAATTTAGAATAATGTAGACTTTTTTTTGGTCGAATAGAATAATGTAGATTAAGAAGTTAAGAACTTGTCGGGGTGATTTTTCGAAATTATTCATTGACTTTTTTCCCCAAGTAAACTGCATTAAATTATATATATATTTTAAATTCTAGAGGGCACTAGGCTCCCAAGCTCGGCCTCTGTGGATCCAGTCCTGGGCACTAGCCACGCAGGCCCGGCCTCGATATATTTGAGCTCGGGCTTCGGGGCCCTAGGTGAGGCCCGATAGACCAGGGCACGGGCACTGAGGTCCCTAGCCCCAGCCTCGATGAACCCTGGTTTGGGCGCAGGAGATCAAGGCACAGGCACTGGGGTCCTAAGCTTGACCTCAATGGACTTGGGTCCGGCCTCTATGGACTTAAGGTCGTGTGCTGGGGACTCGGGCATGGACACTAAGGTCTCGGGCTCATGCGCTGGGGACCCAACACGAGCGCCAAGATCCTACACCTGGCCTAAATGAATTCGGGTGCGGGTGCTGGGAATTTGGGTATGGGCACTAAGGTCCTGGGCCTTGGCCTCAATGGACCCGGGCTCAGGGTCCAAAAAAGCTTATATTTTTTAACCGTCGCATGAAGAAAAGATTTTGTTGCGAATGCACAAGATATTGATGAATAGTTCATATGTGAAATCGTAATTATTGATACGGCCCTTTTTTCTCGTAAGAGTGGAATTTTTTTTTACAATAGAAGTATAAGTGATGTGAATTATTCAAGACTGGAAGTCGATTTGTTTTATAAAAAAAGAGATATCGATCAACTTTTATGAAATGATTTCACGGGACTCAATCAATTACCTTAAACGCGGGATATTATTGAGAAATAGGATTCAGCGTCATCCAAAAGGTTTTCGAAAGGTTTTCGTGTGATTATTTGCAGCATGTACCTTATTGAACAAAAATGGTGGTACTGTTGTTTCGATATTTGGGAAGTATCCTGATCACGCAATAATAATGGTTTTTTTTTTTTATACCAAATCCGAAACGTAAAAGAGAGCTACAACTCGAACTCTCCCTCACGCAATCTAGCTTTACCACGAAAAGCTTCATTGCAGCAAATTTCAATTTTACACTCTTTTAACTAGTAAATCGACTTTGACCAAAAAAAAAAAAAAAAAAACTAGTAAATCGACGGAACGCCGTTTCTCTTGCAAAACCGGGTGTCTTTGCGGGCGGAGCCTTCAGGCGAAATCGCCGATCCGGGGAAGGGAGATGCAGTTCTTCGGGGGCTCCGACATCAGCCCGTCGCCGCCCGCGCCGACGGCGGCGGGGCACAACGCGAACGTGATGTACGTGTTCAACCGGAACGGCGCGTGCTTGTTCTACCGGGAGTGGAACCGCCCCCTCCGGACCCTGAACCCCCAGCAGGACCACAAGCTGATGTTCGGCCTCCTCTTCTCCCTCAAATCCCTCACCGCCAAGATGGATCCCACCACCTGGTATTCCCATTTTGCTTCAACCCGCGTCTCCCATCCGATCGTTTCGTCGATTTTGCGGGAAGTTGAATTCCGAGTGGGTGGATGGCGGATCGCGCGAAGCATCGAAAATGTTGTGTAGAATTGTGGGTCTTTATGCATTGTGTTGAGAATGTACGTGCTGCCCGGTTGCTTGATGATTTGCTTTGACTTGGATCCCTTCGTAATTGGTCTCTGAACACTCTCCCAAACGGTCATATGCGATTAAATTTCGCTGAAATTGCTGAAATGAGTGACCTTTTTGAATCTTGTGTATTCAATTCAGGCACCCTTTGATGGTAACCCCGTTTTTACTTTATTTGGTAATTTAGTTGTTCTTTTGCTGATTTGCTGTTGATCCTCACGAATGTTCAGCGAACCTTCGATTGAAAGGACTTTGAAAATTTTCAAGTCGAGTTCGAGCTCAAAGGAAAAGAAAAATCTAACGGAAGTCGAACCTGCCGTAGAAATTTTAGACTATATGAAAATTGGTTTTCTTTTGTTTTTGCGCACTCGCGGGCTCCCTCTTACATGCGAACGCATGACAAACACACAAAACATAACTACTCAATAACTCATTGGTCGGACAAGTTAAGCATTGCAAACCTTGAAACTCAACTAAACTTAATGTTCTAGTAGTCACTTAGTCAAGTTCATGTAGCTCGTGAGGAGGTGGACTTTTTTGTGCCATGAGCTTAAAGTTGCAAAAGCTTTCTATTGCCAAGGGCCAAGCATGCAGGAGAAGATGCAGGAGAACCGGATGATCAGTGATTAACTTACACTCTCCCTGTTTTTTTCCTCTTGCAGTGGGGACAAAGGAAATCTTGGGGTGCCGCAGTTACCAGGCCAGGGTTGTTCATTTCACAGTTTCCGCACTAACACATACAAACTTAGTTTCATGGAAAGTCCTTCTGGTATAAAGGTTAGTTAAACTAATTCTGCCGTCTTTGGAGTAATTTTTCAACCTCAGATGTTGCTTGTAAAGAGCTTGCGTTAAAAAACTTCAATAATCTTAGCAAATTAGCAAGACCTGTTGAAACGGAGCATTATTAAGGAACTGACACTCTTCTGATGTATCTAAAGGCACCACAAAATTAGAAGATCTTTGTGCTTCCTGGAATGCATGGTATGAGAGAGAAATGGTTTGCTCGTGTTAACTTCTATTATCTGTGCATTGACTACTTATTATTTTGTTCAATAATGCAAAATGAATCTGCTGAGAATCGCATTGCCAGATCATCTTACTTTTACAGTGTTAAGGATTTGCCTTATGCTTTTATTGCTTGCAACTTCAGCAAATATATTAATGTCAATGCATTTTTGGATCAGATCTTTGCCCATTAGTGTATATCTCTTTAGAAGACTCTTACCAACCATCAATCTGCCTTTTCTTTTGTTTTTTTTAATCTCATTCCTCATGTCTTTGCAGATAATATTGGTTACACATCCTAGGACCGGTGATCTACGCGAAGCTTTGAAGTATATATACAGTCTATATGTTGAATATGTGGCTAAAAACCCTCTCTACGCTCCAGGAACTCCTATCAGGTGACTGATAAACTTTTGTTGGTTTAAACTGGTCGATTAGATGACATGGTCAATGTCGATGATCTATTATTTGAATAGTGTTCTATAGGGGACCAAAATAGTCAAATTGTCTACTAAATATATCTGTCTGTTAAAATCCCCAATGATTTTTTTTTGTCATTTTGAAAAATAACCTTGCACTGTCCCAATGCTTTTGATACAGGTCATCAGTTTCAGCACCTAGCTTGCCTCTTTTTGATATTAGTACTTCTGTGGACATATTATTTAAAAATTGGGATAAACACATTCCGTGGTGACCATTGCTTTTCTTTCCGTGAGTTGTATTTGCATAATTGCAGAAGCTGTTATTTTCTCTGCTTACACCTTTTCTTATCCTTTTTGAAGGTGTGACCTTTTCAATACAAATCTTGACCAATTTGTAAGGAGCATTTCGTAAAACCTCGGTATGGAGCTAAATATGTATATGCTTTTTGGTCATGGATCAAGCTTAGTGGACAATCTGGAGAATTGGTTGATTGTGATGTGCCTGCTTGGTGTATTATGTGCCTCTCTCTTTGCTGCCAGTGCTAGTCCAACTCCAATCTTCCTACATTTGTGTATCAGCCGCTTCTTTGGTGACGGATTAACAGAGGAATTTTTCTATGCTCCTCTTTCTTCTATATGAATGATAGTGATTGTTGCAGTGGACATTACTCTGTAGCCCTCTTTTTTTTCTTTCTTTTATGGCTTATCATCGGGATGTGCAAAAGTTGTTGGAAGGAGTTGATTCTCATGTCTTAATCTAAATTTTGAGCCCATATAACTTTACACGACTCAAAATACACAAAGCTGCAAGCATCTGCAGTGAACTTTTATATTGCTATATTCCATCTGCTGACCATCTTCTCTGTGGATTGACTGAGGAAACCGGGGACTGCTTATTTTTTGAATCTGGATTTGCTTCTCTTATTTGGTTGAGAGTTTTGAATTTGCATGGTCTTGATATATTGCCTGGCTCATAACCTTCTGAATTTCCTTGGATTAAACTTCATAATAAGAGGAGGGCTTTTCCTACATTGCTTACGAAGACATCTTGGTGCACAGTGGTTTATCATCTATGAAAAGCTCGAAATGGAAGAGTTCATGATGCCGGGTTCTTTCCTGATGTTAATACTATCTTTCGAGGTGTACTAGATAATGTAAGGCTTAGACCGACTGGTTGTGAGTCTGTTGCTTATGGCCAAGATTGATTTGTGTCATGCTCGGGTGTGCGCTAATTTGGGCTTGGTAGTCAGCTGGACTTTTGTATGGTTAGTGCTTGATGTGGCCCTGTTGTCATTGTCCTTGATGTTGTTCCAATTTTCACCAATCCTCACTGTTAAGTCACGTGGGCTTTCCCCCTCCTCTCTTTCTTTTTATTTTATTTATTATTTTATGGTTGTTTATTGGTGTTTAGGGCTTGGTCCATCTAATGTATTTTAAATAGAAGAAGTGTGTCAAACCTAGTGACACACCGTATTCTCTCTAACGCCGCTCTCTTCTCTTCTTCTTCTTCGCCATTTTCATGATATCAGAGCAAGAGTTTGTTTCATCCATTGTTTTGATTGGCCCTCACCTTCTTCTCCTTCTTCTTTTCTTTTTTTTCTTTTCTTCTATAATGGACATACAACATCATGGCTTCTGAGCCATAGATTTGTGCAGCCTGCCCAGTGGTGTAGGCTTGGTCTCCTTGTTCCGGTCCAGGGGTGCCGGTTTCTTTGCGTAGAGACCTAGCAAGTGTCTCCCTTTTCTTTTGCAACAACAATGGCAGGAGATGATCGACAGAAGGAGGTGAAGATGGGTGATGTTTCTACGAGCTCCAGCAGTACCGAGGGTGTTGTCTCTTTCCCAACGAGACTGTCCGATGAAAAAATTGGAAGGAGCCCTAAATTTTCAGATTTGGCAAAAAACTATTCTTGTCTGTTTAAAAGGTATGGGTAAGGCTAAATACTTGACTGATTTGCCTCCTGAGTCTACCGACCCTAATTATTTGAGTTGGGAGATTGAAGAGAACCGTATCTTCGGACTTCTTTTAAATTCCATGGATCGCAAAGTTAAGGTTATGATTGCTAATTGTCCGACGGTTCGAGATGTGTGGAATCGTTTGGCACTACTATATTCAAACACCAACAACAAATCTCGTGTGTGTGATGTGTTGAAGAGATTATTTCAACTCAATCAGGAGGAGCGGCCTATTCAAGAGTTTTATACTGAGTTTCATGCCCTGTTTGATGAACTTGATTTGTTGTGGCCGATTCCAACTAGTCCTGATGAGATGATTGCACAGAGGGAGCAGCTTGGTGTTATGTGTTTCTTGTCGGGTCTTCATCCCGGACTTGAGCCAATAAAAAATCAGATCCTCTCCGAGAGGGTTCCCATATCTATTTCTGAGGTCTATAATCGGCTAAGTAGTATTACCATTGGGGCTCATACTCCGTCTGTGCAACCAGAATCTAGTGACAAATCCGCACTGTTCTCTTTTTCTAGGAGTGGTGGATCACGTGGTGGTCGTGGAGGTCGTGGTGGCCGTGGAGGCCGCGGTGGTAGTAAGGACCAACGTGTTTGTCATCATTGTGGTATGCCCGGTCATCTAATGAGCAACTGTTATAAGTTGCACGGTTATCCGAGTAGTAACAAGGTGGCTAATGTCTCGGCACTTGCATCTTCTGAGATCCAGGAGTCCTCTCCTGTTTCCGGGAGGAGAATGATTGAGATGACTGATGAGGAGTTTGCACGATATACTCAGTTTCAGGTGGATGGGCAGGCTTCTATTGCTACATATGCACAGACAGGTAATCATACAGCATGTGTTTCCATGTCTCGTGGCAAATGGGTTGTTGATTCAGGTGCCTCAGATCACCTAACAGGAACAGTAGGTAATCTCACAACCTATTCCTCTTCATCACATGTTAGTGCTATTACTGTGGCGGATGGTTCTTCAGCAATTGTAAAAGGGAGTGGGACTTCTAGTCTTACATCAGATTTAACATTGTCTTCTGTGCTTTATGTTCCAAAGTCACCTTTTAATCTACTATCGGTTAGTCAGATCACAAAACAATTGAATTGTTCAGTCTCATTTTTCCCTGATGGTTGTGTTTTTTAGGATCTTTTGACGAGGAAGGCCACTGGTAGAGGAAGGGTCGAAGGAGGAGTCTATGTTATTGAAGCCACACCACCGTCAGTAGCCTGCTCCACCACATTCCCTAGTCCATATGAGATTCACTGTCGTCTTGGCCATCCAGCTCCTACCACCCTCCAGAAGTTATATCCTCAGTTTAAGAACGTTTCCTTTGAATGTGAGTCATGTCAGTTTGCTAAGCACCATCGTGTGTCTTATTTTCCTAGAGTCAATAAAAGAGTCTCAGCTCCGTTTGAGTTAGTCCATTCAGACGTATGGGGTCCTTGTCCTGTCCTGTCAAAGCTTGGCTTCAAATATTATGTAACTTTTGTTGATGACCATTCACGGATGACATGGGTCTATTTAATGAAAAATCGTTCTGAGGTGTTCCAAATTTTTTGTGAATTTTATGCTGAAGTTCGAACTCAATTCTCCACTTCTGTTAAGTGTTTGCGCAGTGATAATGGTCGGGAATATTTATCACATCAATTCATGTCGTTTCTTTCCCGTAATTGTGTTGTCCATCAAACTTCTTGCCCTGATACACCTCAACAAAACGGTGTAGCAGAACGCAAGAATAGGCATCTGTTAGAGGTTGCTCGTGCTCTCTTGTTCCAGCACAATGTCCCTAAGTCATTCTGGGCCGATGCAGTTTTGACCGCTTGTTATCTTATCAATCGTCTTCCTTCTGCTATTCTCAATGGAGAAATTCCTTTCCGTGTGTTGTTCCCTACTAAATCTCTGTTTCCTCTCTTTCCAAAGATGTTCGGGTGTGTGTGTTTCGTTCGTGATACGCGACCTCAGGTCTCTAAACTCGACCCTAAGTCTCTTCGTTGTATTTTTCTGGGCTATGCTCGGCATCAGAAAGGTTACCGTTGTTTTTCTCCTGATCTAGGTCGCTACGTTGTCTCTGCAGATGTTACCTTCCATGAGTCTCAATCTTATGGCACCAAGGATGATTCTCCATCTACTTTCTTGGAGGATGTTCTTGTCCATCGGTCTCGATCGAGTCCTACTTATGAGACATCATCCACCCCCACAGCTCAATCCACTGACGTGTGGTATGGTCGTATGTATCATCGGCGGCCGACTCCTGTGATTTCTTCTACCCCATCCAATGTGCCTTCTGATGACTCATTGGATCCTCCTCCGAATGCATCTTCGCCAACGCCACCTCCGCTGGATACCTCTGCATTGATACCGGATCTCCCCTCAGATGATGAGCCTATCGCTCTCCGTAAAGGTATTCGTGCTTGCCGTGATAGACCTGTTTATACCGACTCTTATAAGGGTTTATCAGTTCAGACACAGGCGTTGATTGCCACTTTGGATTCCATCTCTGTTCCACGATCAGGTTCTGATGCCTTGGCTCATTCTGGTTGGCGTGCTGCAATGGTGGATGAGATACAGGCCTTGGTTCAGAATGAGACCTGGGAGCTTGTTCCTCTTCCCACGGGTAAGCAAGCTATTGGTTGTAAATGGGTTTATACTGTCAAGGTTAATCCGGATGGCTCGCTTGCTCGCTTGAAGGCTCGTCTTGTTGCTAAGGGATATGCTCAACAGTATGGTGTTGATTATTTTGAGACTTTTTCCCCGGTGGCTAAAATGGCCTCCGTTCGGTTATTTATTTCTCTGGCAGCCTCCCATGATTGGATCCTCCATCAACTTGATGTCAAGAATGCTTTCTTGAATGGACATCATGACGAGGAGGTGTATATGGAGCAACCTCCTGGGTTTGTTGCTCAGGGGGAGTCTCATAAGGTTTGTCGGCTTTGTCGCTCCTTATATGGTCTCAAGCAGTCACCTCGTGCATGGTTTGGCAGGTTTACTACAGCTGTTGTACGGGATTTTGACATGAAGCAGAGTATTAAGGATAGTTCTGTTTTCTATCATACTTCTCCTGCAGGTTGTATTTATATGGTTGTCTATGTGGATGACATTGTGATCACTGGCAGTGACTTAGCAGGCATTTCTAGGCTCAAGGAGTTTCTAAACAGTCAGTTTCAAACCAAAGATCTCGGTCCTCTAGGATACTTCCTTGGTATTGAAGTTTCTAAATGTAAGAATGGTGTTTTTCTATCTCAGAGAAAATATGTGTTAGATTTATTGCAAGATACAGGGTTGTCTGGGGCAAAATATTGCGAGTCCCCTATGATTCCTGGTGATAAGCTCATGCCACAAGAAGGTGCCCCGATTCCAGAGCCTGAGAGGTATCGTAGATTAGTGGGAAAACTCAATTATCTCACTATGACTAGACCTGATGTTGCCTTTCCGGTTAGTGTTGTTAGTCAGTTTATGGCTGACCCTCGTGTTCCTCATTGGGAGGCTGCTCTGCGGATTGTAAAGTATCTAAAAAAGGATCCCGGGAAGGGTGTTATCTATCAAAATCATGGACATTCCCGCATCGAAGCATTTTGTGATGCAGATTGGGCTGGATCTCCCGCTGATAGGCGATCTACATCTGGTTTTACTATATTTATGGGTGGTAATCTTGTCTCGTGGAAGAGTAAGAAGCAAGATGTGGTTTCTCGGTCTAGTTGCGAAGCAGAGTATCGCTCAATGGCAAGTACGACTGCTGAGATTATGTGGCTGCAGCAGCTTTTGACGGAGATAGGTTATTCCGTTGATTATCCTTCTAAATTATGGTGTGATAATCAGTCAGCCCTACATATTAGAGATAATCCAGTTTTTCATGAGAGGACTAAACACATTGAAGTTGATTGTCA